AATTCTGACTTTTTTCTCATATTATACTGAAATAAAATGTAAAAATCAGTTAACTTTTTTCTTATTTTCCAGTGGCCCTAATCCCCTTCCATATAAACCACCTAAACTGATTCTTCAGTGAATGTACCTTGCAATAGCCGCTAGGTGGCGGTATAACGCAATCTTGCGGCCTCCGCTAAGCAGAAGTAAAGCGGCGGTACTACAGTCCAAGCCTAGCCCAGCCCCCCCACACACCACACCGGCCTGCCTCGGCTCAACAGGAGAGGTACGCGCGGCTGTTGCTGGAGCTCCTACGCTCTGCTTGGATTCTATCAACGCTGGGGCAGACCAACACTACCTGCTCCGTTTATTTTTTTGCTATTTTTCATTTTTGTTTGGGATTTTCCCGTCACATCCATCCGCCCTGTGTTTTTTATAGCTTTTATTAACCAAGTGTCGGTTAACGGGAGAAAACCCTTCAGTCACCTATTAGCCGGAGCTGGCTAACTGCAACTAGCTTCCTGAGGACAAACGCATCATTCCGAGTTAATCTGTGGTGACTCGTTAGGCGTAAGCCGCTTGGTCATAGCTGTTTATCCGTAACTCTGTGACTGTAGTGGTAGCCTTCAGTCGCCACCCATGACCGCGGCGGTTAGGGCAGCGGTTCTTCTCAGCGGGGGGATTTTTAGTTAGCCTCGGCGGCGGAGCTTCGGGCTGCTCCGGGGATGTTGTTGGTAGCGAAACAAGCTAACGTCGGTCGCTCAGTGTGAAGGAGGGGAGTGCTAGAGGAGTGAGGCAACACTCTGTGAGGACTTAATTTCTCTGGTTTTGATGTCGCTGGGTAGAACCCGGCAATCATTAAATACTCCCGGGCAGGGGGGATACATATCGGGAACATATCGGGATTATTTGCCGTGCCTTTAAAGTTGATTTCGGCCTCCTGTTGTGGATCATCGTGGGAAACACATTAAGTATTTTGACCCTGGCTTAGTTGGAGATATCTCCCCGCCCTCCTGCTGAACCCTCTAATGCGGAGATCTCAGTAGCACCGGAATCCCCCCCTCCACGGCGGCCGGACATGCTGAAGTGTATCCCCCTGTGGCGCTGCAATCGCCACGTCGAGTCCGTGGACAAGCGCCACTGCAACCTGCAGACTGTCCCCGATGAGATCTTTCGCTACAGCCGGAGCCTGGAGGAACTTCTCCTGGATGCCAACCAACTCAAAGAGCTACCCAAGGTATGCCTGCTATTGCCCTGCTTTCTAACACCGTTCCTGACTCATTTGTTTCGTTCACCTGTTTTAAAGCAGAGGTCACTTTGCAGGTGAAAGAGTGACGACACCCCAGCGAGTCACGTGACAGTTTACTTCCTTTAGATCAGGTGTTTTCTGTTCTGCTTGGTGAAGTTTAACCATTTTGCCCTCTACTTGTTACAGTTTGCAGAATATTTACTTAGATGACATGGTTTGCAAATGCATCCGCTCACCTTGAACCCTTTGATAGTGCATATTTGTAAAGGGAAACAATTGATTTAATGTGTATGCTTCAACACTAACAAGTGATTAGGGCCATTATCCAGACTGTGTGGATCTTACCTATATTCTGACTAGCTCTATTGAACAGGGTTGGGAATTGATAAGATTTCCACGATCCCGATACCTTATAGATTCTGCTATCAATTCTGTGAAACGATTCAATTCTCTTATCGATTCTGTGAAACAATGAATTTGGTAAGTGCACGGTGACGTTCGTCTACCTTCGCCTGGGGCATTCTATTTCTGCCTGCCTCGGTGAAAACAGAAGGCAGTAAACGGGAACTGCCAGGCTTCCTGTTTCATCAGTCATCTGAAGGCCAATTTATACTTGTGACCTCCCCCAGTCCCCTGTGCAGAGGATCTGCAACCGTCGTCGCACACCTCAAAAAAAAAGAAGAGAAGAATCCTGACTACCTTTTGGACGGTCGCAAACCCGTGCAGACCTCAAGCGGAAGTGCGCAGACAAAAAGCAGCTGTGATTGGTCCTTGGTTTGCCATTTCGACTGTCTGTGTGGTCATCCTTCTCGATTCGGTGGCGGGGCGCGCCATTTTTAAAAGCCGAGGAGTAGTAACAACAATGGATAACCAAGATGAAAGGTTGATCGAGGAGTTTCGGAAGTACAACCAATTGTACGATGCCTCAGACACGTTGTTTTGGAAAATAAACGCTCCTGCCGGCGCATCCGAAGTTCTTGTGACCATCTGCCAAAGTTCTCCATAGGCTTTCTCTTGCGCGTTGGCGGGAAACTGCTGTGCGTCTCTAGAAATTCCAGACCGACGTTGCAGAAGCATACCAGCAAAACTGGTTTATGACCAGACGTAAGCGACATTTGATGTGTGCGGCTGCAGAAGTATAATCCGCCCTTTAATCTACTGGAGAAGGCATCAGTTTAATAAAAAAGCATTACTGTACAATTTTGGCAAACAAACTAATCTCTCCCTGATTTAAATAAACGAGCGTCACCTTTCTCTCACTCCCTAAACTGCAGAGCAACTTCGTAGCAGGTTTCGTTACATCCATTGCAATAGCTAGAATCATGTAAGAATTCCACCTACCAGTAGTTCTTAATTAAACATGCTAGCAATGAAGGGCTGGTAGAGAGGTAGAAAATTGGTTTATTTTCAGAAATGGCATATGATTTACTAGGACTTACGCCTCGTCATGGCGTACTTGCTTACTGAATGCCGTGTGCGTTACTTGCGTAAAAAATGCGTCGTACGTCGTGCTGCCCAGAGCCGAGACGGCGCTAGGCTCTGGTGCTGCCTGGAATCGGTAAGAGAATCGTTAAGCGAGCTGCCAAACGATGCCATGGAATCGGAACACACAGAACCGGTTCTGAACAGGAACCGGCTTTCGATTCCTATCCCTGCTATTGAACGAAGAAGTTAAAGCTAAAGCGTGTGGGACTGATATAGTTTCTATGGCTGATATCAATAAATCCTCATATGCCTTTCCTTTACATCTAGAAACAGACTAACTGCAAATGATCTTTATCTGCAATAAATGGTGGGGATTCTGTGAAGCATTAACTGGTAGATGCAAATATATGGCAAACTTTTCACATTTAAATGAGTTTAAAGTTATGGATTGCTTGCTGTTGGTGTATGATGTCAGCTGTTGGTGAAAAGCATTGCACAATATGCAGAAATGTTTAAAGGATATGAAGGGCTCATTTCAGGGGGCGACACCTTTACCATCAAAATATATCTGAAAGAAATAACTTGGCCTTTTAGGAAAAAGATAGTGTGTTTAGTTTTATGATGACTGATATATATACTTCTTCATGTATTATAAGGGAAAAACATTAGTATTTGCCTAGGACTTCCTTAAAAGAGGTTTTTAAATTTCAGCATAATTTTCCTGGTTAAATAAATGTTAAATAAGAAATAATGTAATTGTAGAGTGTGAATCCCTTTAATGTCCCACGATGGGGAAATTCATTCTGCATGTGTGGGAATTGGCTTTACAAAGAATATGATTTTTAGATAAATGTCATGATTTAATTTAGATTTTCGAATTGAACAACAAAAGTTTGAAGTAGTCCTTCCTGTTGTTTGAATGTTTCTGTTATCTTTAGCTTTTTGCTTTGAACAATTTGAATTAACCTTCATTTAAATGTTGAATATGAAGCTCCTTTTCGCTGACCCTGACAGACCAAAACAGCCGGTAAACAGGCGTGGAACCAGTTCTCAGATAGGCCGGGTTTACTGGTGCAGAAGTCACAGATACAAGTTGAAAAATATCCAAAGTTTGCTTTTCTTGCCTATTCCAATTTATTTTAAGAGAAGGAGGGTTGCTCTTATGTCTGTATTCCCATAACTCCCCAGACATTTGGAGCAAAATGGTTGTTTTTATTTAGTCCAGAGCATTGTTCACCTCCAGGACAATGCAGTGGCTGTGTTTGGGATCTGGTTTGTAGTCTGAACGAACAGACTGGCCCATTGCAGACCCTGGCGCTCTCTCACATTTCATTGCTTTAGCTTTGTGTTGAAAGGGACTAGTGGCACATCTGCTAATGAGGATTGTTAACACTTTAAGGTCAGTGGAGAGTGAAAGAAATGCTGGCAAAGGACTGTCTTTAGGGAGTCCTTCACAATAAAGTATATTCTTTGTGTTTGTTGTGAAACACATTTATTACAGTTAATTGTTTGGTGTCTAAAGCTCCAGCTTATTACACAACAACGGCATCATTTCTTAATCTGAGATCACCTGTTTAAAGTGCTTTACATGATCAGACAGCTGATTTAACAATAGTTCTGATTGTAAAAGGGGTTTCCTCAGCAATAGATGTTTTCCCAGGTCTGGATAAATGTGAAAACAGCATCTTTTTATTGATTTATCTTATTCCCTTTTCCATTAACAAGATATTCTGTCCGTCCATCCTTTATTGATTCATTCCTGTTTGTGAGTTCATCTAATCGGTCCGTTCATCCATCAGTTTCTCCTTCATAGATGTATTTGCTTAGCCATACGTTGGTGTAGGATTGACAGTACTGTGCAGGTCGACATAGAAACTTTCTTTTTTTCTTCTGTTATTTTGGTTTTCTTACCTTTTTTCTTCATTCATCTTCTTTCTTCCTTCAGATGTTTTTTTTTTTTGTCCTTCCAACCTCAACTGTAATTTGAAAGTTATACAAAATCAGCCCAGCTTATCAACTTAATTTTAGGGTGCGACAACTGCTATTTTTTTTTTTTATTTCTGTCCAATTTCACTTGGAACTAGAGCTCAAAAATCTAGTGACTTAATAAGTTTGGCTCCACATTTATTACATTTGGCTAAACTGTGGAAATAATGCTCCGTGTCCTGTGTTTTGTTATGAACTGAAGACCCTTTTTTCATATTTAAAACTGCATTTGAATAGAGAGACACATTTTCTCCATAAGTCAGAAGTTTTTTACTCATTTTATATAAATTTTTTATGTTAAATTTATTTGTTGGAATATTAAGTGTTTAAAATTGCAACATGGTCATTTGGATGTTTCTTTTTTTTATTTTGGTGTGTGTTCATTTAAATAAGTCTCATTTTTGCCTCCTAGTTATTTGTCACTTTGGGGATTTTGGCCCAAATGCTAAAATATATAATATACTTGTTAAGTCGGATGAAGACTACAATTTAATGAGCCCTGACTTCTTTCTGCTCTGTTTTCAGCTGAATATGAAGGTTTTATTATATCTTAGAATGCTCCTTTTTTTTTTTCCTTTTTGTTGGATTTCTTTTCTGCTGCTATTTGTTGTTTACGTGTACTTACATTTTAAATGTGTCGCGATCAAAAATGTGCTTGGATGGATGGAAACTGAAAGGTCAGGTGTGGAAAATGTATGAAAACCCTGCTGAATATTTTGAAATGATCGATGCTAAAAACCCAACCAGTCACTCTTCCTGTGAAACATAGACAACCAACCGGCCTTGTCTCCATGTGAAGAGGATGTTTTGAACAGCAGATGTTGATTCAAAGTGACAGACTTTCTTGTGTGGTTGCAGCAAATGTGTAGGAAGCAGACACAGGGCGTATGGGTCCTCCCCCGTCCTCTGAGTCGGAGGAGCTTCAGAAAGGATGCAGCGTCAGGGGTCAGGCCCATGCAGAGTTTGGGACACCAGTGCTCACTACAATCAGTGGTATTACCGCTGCTAGCTCCCAACAAACCATGCGAGTGCTTCCACACATTTGTGTGGCTCTTCCCTGTCACTATGCATTCCAGTCAGCATTGAGTCCAGACCTCCAGATATTTTTGGATGCCAGCCTAACATCCCTCTTTTGTTTGTCAGCTCGTCTTACATGTGAACAAACCAGCTTTATGTGGCAGGCGGTCCCGGACTGTGTGCCACGCTTGTTGGCTGCGACTCCTTGTCGACCATATGTCGTTGAAGGGGAGTAATCGGCTCAGAGGGGACACCGACAAACTCAATGCTCTGAAACCAGTTCACTAGTAAACTGACCAGTCTAGCTGGACTCGTTTCCAGCCTGAAGGAGGGGTTTGGTATAACATGTTGAAACGACGCACCCTACAAGAATTAAACTGGTGATTCTTTTAACATTAAGTTCACAATGGTAGAAGGTGGTTCTGTGGGAGGCCTGATCTAGGCTGTGATGGTAAGGGTTTAACATGGTGGACAGATGGAGATTTAAACATCCTGATCACGTCTTGGTTTGCTCTGACTCACCCCTGCTTCAATGCTTACTGACCTTAGATAATGCTTTT